CTTTTCAATGCAACTAAAAATGGCACCTCCGCACCTGTCTCTTATACACATCTAGATGTGTATAAGAGACAGCACACACACACACACACACACACACACAATCGTGAGGAGTCGGTCGAAGTCCGACGAACAAGTCTGGCACAGTCATGCTTTTTTTGTGGAGTTAGTGTATAGCGAACATGACAACACACACACACACACACACGCACACACACACACGCACACACACACACACACACAAAGACACACACACATTATGGATCTCACTCATCTGGGTGGAAAAGGGGCCGTTCTTGTGATAGGGCCTGTTCTGGTGAGAGCCAATCTGATTAGTAATGCGGCAATTCAATTGCTGAGGGTGCCGCCTTTACGCGAGGTATGATGTTCTGTGAAAACGGAACTTAGTAATTTTGAATCTGAACTCTCGATATTCGAGTTACCAATTGATAGGTCATGATGTACTGGGCTCTGGTCACTTACATAGAGCCCTAGCGAAAAAAGTGTTATACATGAGCACCAACAGACCCCGCTGGCGCACACACACACGCACACGCACACTGCTTGTAGTCTCGTCCAAGGAAGGAAACGGGGAAGACGGAGGGATTAGACACAGCTGGCCAGGGGCCAAGTTTGAGCAGAAGAAGAGAGGACCATTTATCACCCATATAACAGGCCATGACGTACTCTTTGGCGTCTCGGGGATGAAGGATTCGCTTCACCTCCGCGAATTTGCGCTGTTTCTTTGACGTTCCCATGGCTGCTCGCTCCTCAGGTCAGATCGATCGACTCTGCACGGACAGATCGCCAGCAACAATGTTCGTGCTCGTGCGCCGACAACGACAATCGTCGTGTTCATACGCCGACAACGACAATCGTCGTGTTCATACGACGGCAGGCAGGCAGGCAGGCAACAATCTTTCTGTTCATACGCCGGGCATTCATACGCGAAGAGCAAAACGTGCTCAATGTTCATACGCCGGCCGACTATTGTTGGTTCCATAGAGAAGGGTCGAGTAAACACGCAAGGCGAAGAGCAAAACCTGCTCTCATCCAGCGATCTAACTCAGTTGGTAAGGCACGCGAGTGGCATTCAGGAGGTCTTGTGTTCAATCCCCATTGGCCTCATGTACCTTCCTGGGCAAGCTTGACGCCCACCACCTAGAGATGCCGTTGGGCCCCCCGAGTGGCATTGAGCAGAGACTGCTGATGTTCATAGGGGGGGGGTAGGGGGAGGGGACCGGAGGGGAGGCACAGTGACTGGCCCACCTTGATGCTACCCCTGACAGGTATAGCTCACCTGCTAGTACCTTTCGGGCGTGGGAAAATAGGGAAAACTGCCAGTTTTCCCAGGCGCCTGAATTTTCGGAGGTCGGGCCCAACGATGACTGCCATTGATAAATCTGATCGGCGGCCGTCGTTTCGTTTCGGCCGCTGCAAAGGTCGGATGCCTACCCGAGGCCCGCTATTTTCCAANCCATTGATAAATCTGATCGGCGGCCGTCGTTTCGTTTCGGCCGCTGCAAAGGTCGGATGCCTACCCGAGGCCCGCTATTTTCCAAGTGGCAAAGGTACTGGTGGTTTAAAAAAAAAAAAAAACCTGCTCTCGACCGCCTGATCACTTCGGAACCTGGGACCTTGTCCCACTTGCACCGTTTAGTTGAGGCAGCTCAACGGTGCGACAGCTAAAAAAATTCATTCTAATTCGATTTCAAATGAGAAATGCATTTTTTTTTTTTTTTTTTTTTCATTCTTCTCTCAACTTCTTGCCTTTCACTACCTACTTACTGACATACCGCAAGGATGCGGGCCCGCAGCCCGTATTGTCACCGCAAATCCGGTAGCAGTGATGGGGTGCAGGACCGAGTCTTACAGACCCAAGTTCGAATTCAGAAACGTGATGAGCAGGATAAAATGAGTGTGCAATACTTAGGGCCGCCCACTTATGATACCTCACAGCAGATCTAGTGGCGCAGCTCAATTCGTCAGGCACGCCACCTG